CTTCCCTCCTTCCTTTTTTCTTTTTTCTTTTGTCGGTCATGGGGCTTGAACTCGGGGCCTGGACGCTGTCCCTGCACTCTTCAGCTCAAGGCGAGCGCTCTACCGCTTGAGCCATAGCACCACTTCTGGTTTTCTGGTGGTTTATTGGAGATAAGAGTCTCAAGGACTTTCCTGCCCAGGCTGGCTTTGAACTGCAACCCTCAGATCTCAGAACCTCCTGAGTAGCTAGGATGACAGGCGTGAGCTACTGGCCCCCCTCCCTCTTTTTTATTTACACATCTGCTTATGCATTTATTTATCGTCTATGTCTATCTGTATCCACTATCTGTATCCAGCTACTTATTTATATTTAAGTCCATTTAAGTAGGGCTATCTCAAACTCCAAAGACATAGCTACTTATATCTATTGAGTTTTAAGGAAAGATTCCCAATCTGTCTGTGAAGTAGATTCTGTGATTGATATGCTATGTGGATCCAATTTAAATGATGCTCAGTCATATGTACTCTATGACCCACTGAACTTGATGAGTCCTACTAGTATTAAGGTTTGCCTGGTTATTCTTACGAGTCCCCTGTGAAGCATAGAAGAGTGTGTATGTGTGTGTGTGTGTGTGTGTGTGTGTGTGTGTGTGGTCTGTGTGTGTGTCTGCAGAAAGTAAAAGCTAATTGCCATTGCTTATTTGGGCTGCTTTTAGGTTGAGATATATAGAATCTCCAAAAGTCTACCGTGTATGTCTCACCCAGAGCCGCTTCCTATGTACTTTCTAACAATATTTTGACACTGTAACTCCCAAGTCTTAACAAGGAATCAGATACGATGAAGAGCCTGTGGCTTGCAGACTCTCCCACTCCATCCAGGGACGCAGGCACAGCCCCGCATTGCCAATCCTCTCTCAAACGCTTCCTGGTATCTATCCGCAGACCTTGAAAGACAACGCGTGCTTTGCTCACGGCAAGGAAGGGAACGGCCGTGGCAGCTCTAAGTGCCGTCCTGCGTATCCTTCCTGACACTCCTGAGTCAAACCCTCCCTCCACCTTCCTCTGTAACTGCTTCCCTTCTGCCCTACGTAGGGGAGAAAACTTGCATGCACAGACCACGAGGAACCGTTAGTTCTGACGAGCACGACAAGCATGAGCAGTGTCTGCCTCCCTCCACACCCCCCACCAACTTTTTCCTGAAAGCAACGTACATGGCCTACGTCGTTCTCCAAAGATACACGGCATTGCCCATTCACCGATTAATCATTCATTGAAAACAGGCACTCTTCCCTTCCCCACCCTCCCAGTTGGTCTGCTGAGACAAAAAAAAAAAAAATGCAACCAGAAACCAAGTCATAAATCCAAGAAGAAACCAAGAGCCAATGAATACCAAGATGTCCAACCACCCCGCCAGCCCGGCCTTCATTCAAGCAAAGCCATTCACCGAGCTAATGTGATGGGCCTTGAGCACATCGGACAGGTCAGCAACACCGCGTGGCATGCAATGACCAGATGACCACCCACCCCGCTGCCATGCTCTGATTGGTTCTAGCTTGGGGGGAGGGGAAGGAGGGGAGGGACAATCAATCTCCCTGTGCCAGTTTAGCTCTGCTTCAAAATGAGGTTACCAAAAACAAAAAAAGAAAAGAACTGGCGAGCCTCCCGTGCTTACCCAACGTTTTGTAAATGCCAAGGAGAGACGTCTGCCTATCCCCCATTTGATTCGTCCAGGAGACGACAGAAATTACCTACATCAGCTCTGACTCTTTAGTTTGGGGAAAAGCTCTGCCCATGCCAGCTGGTCTTCATTTTGGAGGTCAACATCCCGAGATGCTCAGGGTACCCAGAGATCATCACCATGTGATCATTTCACCAGAAAGCTGATGAGCGGGGAGAGGTGCAGAGCGCCCACTAAACACCTTCGGGGGCAGTCCGGAGGCTAGCGCAGAGCAAGCTTTCTCAGAGGTCCCTGAGTCTTTAATTTGACGAGGGCTTAATTTTGTGCTGATAAAAGGTAAAAACTGGACCACCAGGGGAAATCTCAAAACTTCGCTCGCTTTTCAAAACGTCTGAAGACTGAATCTCCTGATTACAGGGAAAAGTTTGGTGCAGTTTTTTTTTTTCTTCCCCCTTTTGATCAAATTGACAACCAGCGAACGTTTCCAAAACATTCTCCAGGCCTGCTGATTTTTCCTTCCTACTTTATAGACGGCATTTCTTTCTTTCTTTTTCTTTTTTCTTTTTGGTTCAGAAGTGGAACTCTCTTTGTAATCCTGTCTTCCAGAGAAAAGGAACTAAGAGTCTATAACCATGGTGATGCTGTGATAGTGTAAAAATAATTTATTATCCAGCTGCCCCCGAGAGAGATTCTAGATGGTTGGTGTCCTGAATAGAGATTCTAAAGTTATTCTGCTACATCCCCCCCATACACACACACTCAAAATGTGTGTCTTTATAAAAGGACCTTCCTTTGCTACCTCTGTTTACTAGGAATAGAAAAGGAGGGTATCACATCCTTGAGAGACACACCATCAATCAAACCAGAAGTGTCATGTGCGAGATTGTTTTCTGGTGATTCACCTAGTCCTGTATTGACCTCCGTGAATAATTCCATAGATGACAAGTATCTTGCTTATAACAACACTAAATAGGGCCAGTAATCAATTTCCACAGAAACCAAGGAGACCTAATATGTAAATGTCTCTAATGAACAACAAGAGCCCAATTACTTGGACAAGAATATAGTTAGTTGGTTTCTTCAACTGTAACGGTTATATACTAAACTGGGAATTACAGAGTTATAAAAGATTTACCAGTCCAAGGATGAGGATATTTTCAGTAGGATGTTGCCAATGGAAAAAAAATCTTAATATTATTAATATTACAGAACTTATACATGTATTTTGCATAATAGTATTTCCAACTGCAGAAAAATTTTAGATGAAAACAAGTGGGAATGGCTAGTTCCTTAAGTAATTCTAGGGAGAACAGAATTGAAATGTTGCTTACTTATTATTTTTAGATATCTAGAGTGGTCTTATTGAAGAAGGCGATTTAAATTGTATCTTTGTAATTAACCTCCTTTTTTCTTCAACTTGGGGATAGATGCACTTATACTGAGAAGCAAGATAAACATTCAAAGAAAATAAATCTGTTTAAGGTTCTTATAATTGTACAGCAGGCTAAAGTCACTATAATTATAATTACATATGGAGTGGGTGTTTGAGAATTTAGCATCTTGGAGATATTTTCATGGAAATAATTAAGGGTTGTGGTTGAACCCATTACAATTGATAACACGTGAATCCTCAGTGCACAGAAATGAATCGCAGCACGTCTTTTCATTTGCTGAAGGATCTTGAGTATTTCAAGATTGTCATCATTTTTTTTTTAATTAGCCTTATTGACCTTCTGGATTTTCCAAAACCCAGCATCTACGTGTTTTGAAGATAGTGCACATGAAATATTTTTGCACCAGGGCAAATGATTATTGGGCATTGCAGCTATGACTTGATGGTGCTTTGGATTTCTTTTAAGGCTTCCTACAGTCCAGAGAACCTTGGGCTGTTTTTTTATTATTGTTGTTGTTATTATTATTATTAATTAATATCACCTCAGACAACCAGACAGCAGATCTCAACTGTACCTTGCCAAACATGTCATTCCTTACAAATAGATGCGTGAGGCTTTCCAAGGGCAAACCTTCAAATTCGGGGATTTCTTTTGCTTTATTATATTGCAGACACATTCTGTACCTACCAGGAGCTAACAGCCCATCCTGTGAGAAATGGAATGAAACGGCTAGAAAAGCACCCCACAGCAGACTGAGATAGGAACTCAATTACCCACAGGCCAGGTGGGAGACCCAGGGCTGCCGACAATTCTCATTCAAGAGCCAGGTCCATTGCCTGCTTACCTGTCTGCCCCAGCATGCCTCAGCCACACATGCAAAAGTGGTTACCATTCTTGTTTTATTCATGAGACACATTTTTTTTTTTAATGAAAGGAGTCATTACCAACATAAGCATCCTCTATGACATTTTGAACATGCAGAGCATCTGAACATTCACATTGACGTCCCCAGGAAACAAGAGCCAAGAAATTTTTTGCATTCAGTATGGAAACGCACGCTCTGATCTTTTCAAGGCACCTAACTCCAAAAAAAAAAAAAGAAAGAGCCCGCTACGACTTGCTGTTTGAGGAAGGAGCTCAGCTCCAGCAGCCCCCATACACACTCATCCCGATGTCCGCGTTCCTCAGCCCCTCCCCAGTACCAGCCTTCACAGGGGAAAGCAGTCCTTAGCAAATAAAAGTCCTGTCGGTGGGACCGGACCCCGGGGGGGGGGGGGCAGTGCGAAAAAGGAAGGAGTCTCCTCAGGAGAGCCAGGTGCTCCCTGCATCCCCGTATTTTGAGCTGAGGAAGCAATGGATCTCTCCATTGCTTGCCTGGGTATCCAATGGGAAAAGAAGGTTCTGGAATGGAAAGCAAACCTGCCAGGCTTATCTTCTGTGTTTGTTTTTGTTTTGTTTTTCTTCCTGGGAGTCAGGTGAAAACATGATTTTTTTTTTTTTCTGAATACAGAAGACCAGCGGAAGGTTAAGTGGAGAGTGTTTAAACAAGGAGTATACAAGCGAGTGTGTGCGAAGGTGTGTGTGTGTGCGCGCGTGGCGCACGTCCAAGTACACAAGGCAGTAGGGTCACGGGTAGAGAGGCTGGAGAAACACAACAAAGCAGCTACCAAGGGACGCAGGGCTTCCTCCTCTGTGCTCACAGCGGGGAGGGGGAGGAGCTGAGAATGATCGAGGCCTGGAGAACCCAGCCATCCCCATGACCTGAGCAGCCCATCACAGGCCGACCGCCTAACTTTTGGGGGGGGGGGGGGGTGGTGGTGGTGTGAGGGGGCCTTCCATCCCCGGTGATCATGCATTTTTTGTTTTTCAACAAGACCGGAGGCAAATCTCCCAACCCACCCACTAAATTCTCTCAAGTAGTTGTCAAATGCAAGAAGGGAGACCCTTACCTGTCACTGTAGGCCGCGGCAGTGGCAGGGGTAGGCTGGGCATAGCGGTATGCGGCGTAACCACCCTGGAACACAAGGAGAAACTGGAGTGAGGGGGGGGTGCGGAAGAGCCCACCCCTAGGATGCCCAGCACGGGTCGGTGACCCAGAGCTACCAAACTACAGGCACAGCTTAGTATCGAAGAAGGACGGAACACAAAGCAGAGAGACCGCGTGTTAAAAGGTTAGCCCTGCCAAGCACATCCCGAAGAGAGAACCCACAGGCCCCTCAAGGGAAACCATATCCAAGCGTTAATGGCGAATTATCTGGAGAATTATGGGTCGGGGGAGGGGAGTCCTACTAAAGACTGCTTATCGTTTGCTGAACTTTCCAGATTTTCAAAATTGATTATGCCTTACCATGATATCGGACTGATAGGAACCTCAGTATTTAAACAATCCCCGATTATTTCTTCTTAAAAGTCAAGTCAATGAGCTCATACTTATTTCGAAAAGTCGAACTCTTTGGTTGAAAGCTTTGCTATGAACTGCTTGCCTGTATGGTCATGTAACCACAAGTGCCCTTGGAGAAGACTTCTGTCAGCTTTCTAACCATTACATAGTTACTAAAAAATCATATATTTTTATTTTGAAGCGAAGGGTGAGCCCTTGTTAAACAGTTCTGTCTCCTGGGCTAGAATAGTATCACACGGCTATTTGTCACCCCGGTTCCGATGTGGGAGGTCGTGTGAAGAAACACGATAAAGTCTTCTAATTTGTAAATAAAATCATTAAGAGGAGAAAAAAAAATTGTCTGGAAAGAGAAATAATTAACATGTAGTTGTTATGTACCAGTAATCACAATTGTTCAATTTAGCCAAGAGCGCGAGCAAGTGGGCATATTCAAAGGAAAATTGTGTGTAGTGAAGCTGTGATGATCAAACTGTGAAAATAACAGAGCTCGCTGCTCAACAGACCATGGAGCTATGTCAGCCGCCGTCCAATGACCTCAGTGCAATTAACAAACAAGGTCCAGCTTCCACCGAGCGCGTGGGGGCTCTTCGGGTTCTAATTAGAATATGCAGTCCGTAACCCTCTGAGGGGAAAGATTCTCACCCTCACCAGGAAGGGGAAACTCAGGCAAGAATGGCGCGTCCCAGGGCCTCACAGCCAAGGGAAGGCAAGTGTTGTTTTATTGGGTTTTACGTACAGGGGCAAAGCTAAGTAGTAGGAGAGGAATTATGTAAAGTGGGGGAAACTCTTTAAAACAAGTCTTTTGAAATGTTGGTAAACTGATCCCAGTATTTGCTTTCTATGCAGTTCTGACTACAGCTAGCTCTCCCAGCAGATGGAATCTGTTGTTTATTCCAGGCACAGCAATTTGGGAAGCTGAGTGTCGTGTTCTGAGTATCAGCTTTGTTGCAAATACATCCAAGACATCCTGACAGCTGAGCACCAATAATTTGGAGCCAGTATCTTTTTGTGAAAGTCTTATTTAAAGAAAAAAAAAAGTAAAACAGAAAACAAAACACACAAAGTTTTAAGAAATAGAAATTATTATTATTTTTTTTAAAAAAAGGGTCTCAGCCAGACACCACCTGGTGTTCCAATTACCATGTTCTCTGGTGAAGAGTAAGAGGGGGAAACTCATTAAATGTGCTGGAAAGTCACAGAGGCAAAGGACTTGTCATACTAGCTCTGAGCTCAAGATGGTAGGATGAGGGACTGTGGAGAAATTAGGTCACCAGATTTCTGGAGCCATTCTTTTCATCTGCTTGTCCATCGTCCCGGCTTTTATGACACATCAGAAGGGAACAGGTGTGCAAAGATGTATATAAAACTTAATGAGGTAGGAAGGAGTTGGAACTGCCTAGCTGATCATCGACAGGCATTAGCAGCAGTGTTGAAGTGTGTGTGTGTGTGTGTGTGTGTGTGTTTTCTGTTTCCCAAAACATCAAAATGGTATTTGCATAGGCACCATGTAAACTGTCACTCTGTGGCAGAGGATTTGGTCCCAGCAAATATTTCTAGCAACTATCCTTGGCAAACCCCTCTCAGCTTGAACTTTGCGTTCCCTTCCCAGATGCTGCTGCACCTCGGGTCCCTGAAAGTAGAGAGGAAGTTTTTCAGCCCCTGTGGGGGAGTAACTGGGTTGGTGTTTATCACGGGGAAACGCAAAACTCAGCTGTGTACACCTGGGCGCCTCTGCAGAAGTCTGGGGTCACCTCTGAAGAGTGCTGCCTATTGTCCAAATCTGCCAACAGCTTGCCTGGGTAGAGGGGAGGAAGTATGTGTTTCTATGTAAAGACAAACGCAGGTGTTCAATGCTTTGATGTTTGCCTTTGTTATCTGGGAATCCATTAACAAGTTTTCTTGACTCAAGAGTCAATACCATATTTCCCTAGTCTTTTGTGAGTAACCAGGGAGATTTTGGATCTTGATCTGCCTTTTATCTCCGCCCAGGGGACAAGCATGTTTGGCGGTGGTATCAGTAACTGGTTGTCTTCTGTGTGTCCTGGACACTTGCAATGTGCCTGCTGCAATCCGCTGAAAACTTTAATTTGACTTCAAATAGCCCCGAGAGGCTGCAGGAATGGACAGGACAAGCCCGAGGGCTCCTTGACCACCAGACAACTCGGCTGGAGTTAGACGGTTTCACAACCCCCTGCCTCTCAATATCGCGCTCTCTTCCTTGCTATTTTTCTCCTGCATGTAAATTCATATTAAGAGAGCAACAGAGTTGTGTATGAGCTCTCTGTGTGTGCATGCACCGTAAAATGATCAAAAAGAGAGAGAGAGAAAAAAAGAATTGCCTTAATTTGCCTTTCTATCAGGGGCCTGCGGTCGATGTTATTATTCCACGCTGCAGCTTGCTTCTGCATCGTGGTGTTGGACAAAGGAGATCTCTCTTTTCCTTGGGGTCCCCAACTCCTGTTCCTTGTGGAACCTAGTGCCCCTAGATGTTTTGATTGAAAACAAACAAACAAATGTGTCCTTGACACATAGAATTTCTCCCACCACTCACCCAAACAATGAAACATCCTCACTTGTTCCCATTTGGGGCAGCAAATTATACAAAAAGTGATTTTAGTTAGAACTATTCCCTAGCCCCTGTGGCCCTCTCCTACCTCTATCAACAAATAAGGACTTCAAAGAAACCCACTGATTACAGACGGACAGGTTTCTTTTGTTTCTGAAGCCTGGGCCAGTTCCTTCCGTGGATAGGCCCCACCGAAGACCTCAAATGATGCCTTGCGAAGACATCTTTGAAAAACAGAAGGGTGGGAGGCTCAAGGTTCCCAGGGGCAGATTGGTTTGGGGAATGCTGGCCGAAACCAAAGGATTCATGCTGTTCTGTTTCTCCACCCGGGAGGGATATGGCTGAATGATCTCCAAGGCCTCTTGAAGTAGCTTGGTCGATGGGATGTACAGTGTTATGACCTTGGGGGGAAAAAATCAGGGGGAGAAGAGGTGCCGAGAGCTGAGCAGGGGGCTGGGGCAGGAAAGCTTGGTGAGCTGGTGAGGTGGAGGGGGTTGCATGTGGGAGCTGGTGGCTTCATCCCCGCAAAGCAGGTGCAAGGTGTGAGTCACAGCTCATTGCCCAGGGGAACGGCTTATTTAGAAGAACGTGTTGCAAAAAAAAAGAAACCCTGGGACATAGATCACAACCCCCTAGTTGTTTTTTTTAAATGGATTTATGCATTCTTCAACCTTCTGAAGGGTGACAAAAAGCCCAGTTTTTCTAGAAATGAGACCCTCTACCCCGATCTTAGGGATTTTTTTTTTTTTAACGACTTTGCACTCTTGGAGGTCCAAGGACCTTTGACACATCCAGGAGCGTTCAAAGTCAAAATTGGGTCCATTCTCATGGTGAAAGAATGCTCACTGACTAAATAAGTGGGAATGTCAGGTGGTTGGGAGACTCCTGTGGTAACATTCTTCCTAACCACCCTCGGTTTGATATCCATTTTCACGTGTTTATTTCAGACAGGATCTTGCTCTGTATCCCAAGCTGACCTTCAACTCCCAATCCTTCTGCCTCAGCCTCCTGAGTGCTGGGATTACAGGTAGTCAGTGCCATGTCTGGCTCTCTCAGATTCATCTTTCATTTTACTTGACAATTTTATGCTAGTTATAAACCAATCTCAAGAGCCTTAGCCAGCAATAGATGTATTGCCTCTTTTTTTTTTTCTCTTCCTACAAATTTACTCATTTGGGGTTGCTTTAACAGCGGGGAATAGATTCCTATGGTTTAGCAATTGATATCAAATACATTTCTGATGGACTCCAAGGACACCAGAGGGTTTCAACGCTGGATGGTAAGAAGTTTGAGCTCTAAACATTCCAATGGACTCCTAGAACCCATTTAAAAACAAATCGCCCAAGTAGTTGGTGCAGTATAAACCCCTTATTCTTATTGCTGCATTTACATTGCTCAAATTCATATACAAGAACCAAAAACCCAGGCTTGACCTCCACTGGGATAAACTGGTGATCCTCTCATCTCGCAGAATTCATGTTAAAAAACTGGAAAATTCAGTCACGGTTTTCCTCTTCCTGTGTTAGAGAATATCTCCCCCCACCCACCCCACTGCCAAGAACCGTTTTGTTAGTAAGAACTTCACAGTAAACCCACACACAAGACGATGAGGTTGGTTTTTTTTTTAACCCCAAAAGGTCAGGATTTCATACCTGCAGTAATTTATTGCCATACACAGGCTCTTGATACACTACTCTATAAGGAAACAGAAATGTAATGTTTTCAATGCAAAAAAAATGAAAGAACTAAAAGAAAAATAATGCATACATCAGACAGAAATCCCAGAGCAATTCAGTTACAAGTTTGCTTTTCTGAGTTCATGGAGACTCATCATGATTGGACCCACCAAACCCCCCAAACAGTGGAGGACCAGGCAATGGCCGTGGGGTGGAAAATCCATCCACTAAGGTGAACAAAGGCGGCAGAGGAAGGGGACCAACTGTAGGATTTGTGGCTGAGACCTAAACCTGTGTCTATTTTTAATTATTTCTGTGCTAGTCCTGAAGACTTGAACTCAAGACTTGAACTCAGGGCCTGGGCACTGCCCCTGAGCTAGCTTGCTCTTTTTTCTTTTCTTTTCTTTCTTTTTTCCTTCCTTCCTTCTTTCCTTCTTTCCTTCTTTCTTTCTTTTCACGCAAGGCTAGCTGTCTATCACTTGAGCCACAGCTCTATTTCTGGCTTTTTGGTGTTTCATTGGAGATAAGAGTCTTGTGGACTTTCCTGCCTAGGCTGGCTCTGAACTCCAATTCTTAGATCTCAATCTCCTGAATAGTTAAGATTGCAAGTGTGAGCCAACCAGCGCCCAGCCTGTATTTATTTTTAAAGAAGGCAAAAGGATGATTTCATGGCTTCTCACCCCAACAATCCAAGGGCACTACTGCAAAGATGTGCTGATCCTGGGATTGGGGCTCTCCGGCACAGCCCGGGGATGGAATTCTGGTGCTGATGAGTTGGGCTGCTAAGGCAACTGCGGCGTGGCAGCCAGACCTGTCTGGTTCCTTCATTTCTCCCAGCAGAGTAGCAATGCAGCTCACAAATCCACAGATTACAGGGGCACCTCGAAAACTACTTTGAACAGACTTACCTGTGTGTGTGTGGGGGGGGGGGGTGCATGGATGAGTGTTTACAGCAGGTGCTGCTAATTCATAGGTTCTCAATATGTCATTGCCCACGCAACTCTAGAACTGACAAGATCTCCTTGGAACCCTTCATTTACCCACACTGGCATGTGAGGGAGCACTCAGCATTCCCAGGAAGAGAAATCCTCTGGCTCCACAGCAGACTTTAAGCTCCTGGGGCATTTTTAAGGGAGTTAGGGACTTTCCTTTCTCCTTCGTAATTAGTTAATTTTTGGCAGTGCTGGGCCTCATGCTTACTAGGCAGGTGGTTTCTCTCTCTTTCTCTCTCTGCACACTTCCAGGAAGGGATAGAGGTATGGTTATATGTCTATATAATTGTGCATACGTAATTATAGACACATAATACATGTATATATAATTGTGTATACATGTGTTTGACGTAACTTGAGTTTTTCTTCCCAGCTAACGTACAGCCTCCTGGAGGTATACATGTGTTTAATGTAACTGAGTTTTTCTTCCCAGCTAACGTACAGCCTCCTGGAGGTATGGCTGTCAACAATTCTGGCCGCCCACCCCCCCCCCCCCCCATACTTGCCCCCGACTCTGGGCTCCCAACCCCCCCCCCCCCAGCTCTCATCATGTATAGGAATGTGACCTCCATACCACACCGCCCTCCACGTCCATTCTGCCCCCCACTGCGTTTCTCAGAGTTCTGTGGCCAGTTCAGCCTGTGCGCAGCGCCTGGGCATTGAACTCTGTCACCAGATCAGAGAAGATTTCTGGACAAATGATTTTATTTCTTTTCTGGAAAATGTTTTCTCAGGAAAAAAAAAAAATCCAGCATGAAGGGAATGAGTGTCCCCTGTGGCTGAGCTGTGGTTAGGAGAGGAGGTGCTGTGGATGAAATGGTTAGCACCTTGTCTCTCTCGTAGATTCTTTCCCCTCCTCCTCCTCCTCCTCCTCTTCCTCTTCCTCCTCCTCCTCCTCCTCTCCCTCCTCCTCCTCCTCCTCCTCCTCCTCATTCTCCTCCTCCTCCTCCTCCTCCTCCTCATTCTCCTCCTCCTCCTCCTCCTCCTCCTCCTCTTCCACCTCCTCCTCTCCCTCCTCCTCTTCCTCCTCCTCCTCTCCTTCCTCTCCTTCCTAGACTGGCATTCTACCACTTGAGCCATACTTCCAGCCCTGCTTTCAATTGGATATTCTGGGAGATGGAATCTAGCAAACATTTTTGGGGGGAGGGGGGCAGTGGGTGAGTTGCTGGGCTGGTTTTGAACCATGATATTCTAGATCTCAGCCTCCTGTCTAGCTAGGATCAGAGGTGTCAGCCATCGGCCGCATCTCATTTCTTTATTATTAAGCTTGGTGCACCCTGTAGTCGAAATGAGTTTATTTACGTGTGTGCCATTGGCAACCAACTCCAGGCCATCTATGATCATCTCCCCGTCTCCCCTCCAATCCTCTCTTCTCTGGGAAGTGTAAGGAGGCCCTTCTAGGCGGGAGGCGGTGGCTCTTCTGCAGGAGAGCTCCTGCAGCACCCCAGCAGGACTAAGGAAGGCCCTGGGGGCATCCAGCACATCAGTGGGTAGGGTAGAAAGGCAATGGGAGAACAAAGGCAAAATGAGGGGGAAAGGAGGGGGTGTGTGGGAGAGGGTGGCCGTTCTGCAGGGCAGGCCGCAGTGTCTAGGTGCCGATGTACTGCAGGGCGAGAAGGATCTAAGCAGGACCCATGTGAGTCAGCCCCACTGCCTTGCGGACAAGGAACCAACCATGCTAGAGACTTAACTCCAAGTAACAGTCACTGACAGGAAACCAGAGGCTTCAACCCCTGTAAGAGGTGCCTCACTCAGCCCTCACCACGGCCTCAAACCTACTTCTCGTGCTGTCTTTCACTAGCCCAAACTTCTATTTAGTAAAATAGACCCCCCCCCCCCCCCCACACACATACACACGACTTTCCAGGAATCTCTTAGTCGTGCAGACATTTATACCCATAGCCGTGAGAGCAGTCGCTTAAATGCGCACAGGCAGGGTTAGGATGTCTTTCTAGTGAGGATGAACCTTGGAATGTAAATTGTAGAGTTCAGGGGATACATCAATTTCTTTCCCTTAAATGAACTTAAGAATACCTGTCTGGCTGCTAAGCTAGTAGTCCTGTTCACTACTGAAACACACACACACAGGCACACACACCCCTGCCTGCCGGCCCCCCCCCCCCCCCGCCCACCTCAGCAGCAACCTACTAGAGCAAAATGTTCAGGATCCCAGGACAGAACCTTGTGCTGAGTGGATGAGCTCAAAATTACCATGGCAGCCAATGGTTCTGTCTCTTCATTGTATTATTTTGGATCTGCCTATGAAAACGTTTTTGTTTTTTTTCTTCCCTTTATCCTATAAAGAGTGAGAAAATAATGTGAAAGCATTTGGGCTGGTTGGATAATGAAGGAATTATTTGCCTACTTGTGTAACAGGAAATGCAAGACTGTCACTTCCTGTAAGTCTAACCTAGGGGGATACTTTTTTTAAAGCAAATCTAATGAATTTGTGGAAGGCATGAACTCCTAAGGCCCTCAAGACATAAGAGGAAGTTCCCAGGGACTTATTATCATTATTATTCTTAATTTATTCTTAATGTTGATGAAGTGAGGTAACTTGGCAGTTGGTCTTGTAGTGGTGGTGGTGTTTAATTTCTCCATCCCTCATCTATACCCTTATGAAATGGAGCAGTACTAAAAGAATACATGACAATAACTAGCACTTTATTTGCATAATCTACCCTAGGCTCCATAAAGGCTGTGAGTGTGATGTTTGGTTTCTCAGAAACCCAGGGACAGGTGTGAGCACAGATCACTTGGCAGGTTTTTATTTTCAGTGGCTCAAATATATCCTGCACCCTGGAATTCGTGGAGTGGCATTCCTGTTGGCTAGAAATACGGTATGACCCTGAATATGTGCACTGAGGCCACGCTTCCTACTTTTCTAGTTTTCATTCAAAAATGGCACAAACTGAAATTTGGAAAGAGGCATGAAAAGGAATAGCTCACATTATACAAAAAAAGAGGTAAATTTATTGTGACCTAAGAAATGTAGTTTACTTGTTTGTAGCACACGAATAGGAAAAAAATTTTAAAAAATGACCTAACTCACAAATAATGGTAATACAGACGCTGTAGCCAATAATGCTGGAACTCAACAAAGCCCCCGGCTGAGATTCACATTCAGTCTCCGAACTGCCATGACTGGACATGCTAAGGGAATGGAATTACAAAGCCAGCGTCTCTCATCTTCTAGTAAGTGACATCCATTTGATTAGAAATGCGATGTGGCTTTTCTTGGTCCTCTAGTCTATGAGACAGCAGCGATGATCCCCTGGACCTATTGAAGCCATTGGTAATACAAAAGTAAATTCTGGGATGTAGAAAGCTTCCTCTCCTCTGGCCCACTCATCTTCCACTGTGGCCACGGCTATGAATCTGCATGCCACCCGCGTTGAAAGCATCAAGGGCCCTTTGTGAGGTAGAACTTCTCTCTCTGCCCTAGTGTGGATGCCAGTGTGTTCTGCTACACGGAGGGTGGGAGGGGGAGGGGGAAGAGCTTGTAGTATTGCGCTTTGGAAACGGTTTCAATTCCTATCCCAGTGATGAGCTCTGCCCTGCTCTTTTCTAAGCATGGTTGGCAAATTCACTTTTCACTGCTGAAGATGGAATCCATCTTACTCTCTCTACACAAGTGCTCTAGCGTGGAGCCACACCCCAGCCTAGCAAACAATTCCAAATCATAGCCAAACAGGACTAATATCAGGTCAGAGAAAAGGAGAGCTTCATGCCAAAGCTCACGTCTGTTTTGGTAAGGGACTCAGGAGGAGGAGACATTTCTTCCTATAAAACCATCCATGTTCAGAGAGAGAGAGAGAGTGAATGAATATGACTCTTAGGGATGTTGTGATAAATAAGTCACTACCTTTATGAGGAAAGCATAAAAATATCAGCCATGAAAACACCTTTTGCCTTCTGCAGCTGGTACCCGAAATAATCTATACTGAAAACACCCGGACCGTATTGAGAACTTGAGAGACCATTTCTTGGGAGGGGTGGAGAGAAGCCACTATCGGCTGTGCATAATCCCACTCAATCAGCGAATGAGATCACGCGCTCACAGGACCATCCATCTTGCCAATCAAGCCAATGGACTGCTTCCTACCGCCTTTGAAGAGGAACTCTGATCCCCCTCCCCCGCCCCCCACCCGTGCCCCAACCCTTGCGTGGAGAAAGTCACAGCAAACTTGTAAAAAGAATGACTCCGAGAGGAGACGGCGAGGACAGCATGCGCATGAATGAATACTTACATAAATGTCTGCACCATAAAATCCGTCCTGGTAAACAACACTGCAAGGGTGCACACACAAAGAGAAACATCCATATTAGTGCATTTCCCCCATGCAGACGCACCGACCCCCGCACAGGCCAGGTTAGTCTCATCACGAGCTCTGAGACATAGGAGCCGCGGGGGAAACCGCTTCAGGTTGATCAAGGAGGTTGGAAGCGAGGAGAGTCCATCAAACCAGGGAAGTTACGCCGAGAGGGTTTGCTGTGGGCTCGGTCTGAACCTTTTTTTTTTTTCTCCCATGGTATTGTTTTCTGTTTTCTTTTTTGCAGGGCACCATATTCTTGGGGGGAAAATGGGGGAGGGGGTATAGAAATGCGCAACTTTGAAATGCCCAGAGGATGGAGGTGTATTCTTCAGAGGCCTAGCTAGGCACACCACGTTGTCTGAAAGGATCCAAGACTCCCCGAGAAACACCAAAACACGAGTTTTAACAGAAGATTGGAAGGGGAGAGACGGGAGGTTTAGCATTCTTCAATATGGGTTAGAGGCAGCCCTAAGGGCGGTCGGTGAGACCTTTTCTTCTGTATGATTCCATGCTTGTAGCAGGATGTCCGATCTGCTGTGAGCCACTCAACTCATAGGGTAAATAGCAGAATATCTCTAGTCCTATACCTACTGGAAGCACATGAGCCGCGCATTGGTGTAGTATGCGTGTACCCGCCACCTCTCCGTACGTGCAAGCGCACGTGTGATTCAGAGGTGCACGTGCATAGAAATGCAGATATGGCGTAACTTGTCTGTATCGTCTTCTTGGGGGTGAAGGCACAGAAGTACCGTGTGCTCACAGGTACACGTGTGTATGTGTGCGTGCGCATTCAAACAAGTTATCATGGAGGGAACCCAATCTCAGGACGGCTCTCTGAACAAGGCTCGTGTAGTCTCCCTCTCAAGGAACAGGGATTGGCAGAGGGGAGTAAGGGAGAGATTCTGGGATTCTCTACAAGTTTCCTGGAGAGCTAAACAGCCAAGCAAACACCACCCCTAGTTAGGCGATCCTAGGAAACAGAGCAACAAGAAAGGAGTCTCACAGAGGTTGTCCGAAGGCTGTACACCCCCTGAACGCTTTGTGAGGTCCCCGCCCGCCCTGGCCCAACCCTTCTGTCTCTAGATAAGTGTCTCCCAAAGGGACAGTGAGTTGTCGCTAATAAGCCTCCTGCACATCTGCCCTTGAAATGTGGAGGTGATGTACGATCCTAGCAAGGGACCAATGAGCCCCACTGTGGAACCAAATCAAGTCCTCACAGAACCGCAACTTGGAGGCCAAAGGATCTCAGCCACGGGTAGAGTCTGCAGGTATCCAGCCAAGCGTATTAAGCCAAGGGCAGCTACTCCAGCGTGAGCACGTGCCCGTGCACACACACCGTAGTGTGCTTCTCAAAGCTTCTCGGAGTTGATTGACTCAACCCCAAGCGCCATTATCCCTGCAGAGAGGCAGGGGTTCCCCTATGCTAAGGAGGTGAGCAGGCAAAGCTTTTAGCTGTTGCTCCCCGGTTTTTTTTTGATCCGGGAGGGCTACAGTTCAGAAGAGCACTTGTCAAGCAGCCTAAACCCCTAATCCCAGAGCCGCCGGGGTGAGCCACATCCGGAGCTGCGCTGTGCATTCTCTTTGAACATTTGTAACATGAAAAGAGCGAGCCTGGTGGGGGTCAGGAGGCCGGGCAGCGTCTCTTCTCCCCCCCTCGCCCCCCTGCCACCCCCCCCACCATGGGACTTGGCCCTGATCCAGCGCAGTGGAGATGAGCAGCAAGTATTTAGTTTGGACCCCTAACCGCCAGAACAGACTGTGCAGCAGCCACGGCTAAAGACAGCTTCTTCCCTGGCTCTGCCACGCCCTTGTGCAGGCTAGCTCCATGCAATGCGTGCCTCTCTCTCCCAGCCCCTGTGCCCACGGGGAGGGAGGGCAGCCCTCGAGGGCTAAGGGAGGTGGGGAAGAGCTGGCAGTTTGGGTGGTGAGCCGCGCCCTCGGCATGGTAGCCCGGATACCGCCCCCACGAAGGGCCCAAGGCTCTCGCCAGAAGCTCAGCATCCGGTTCCCAAGACTCTCGGCTGCACAGCTCATGCGTGGCCACCACAAACGAGGCATTGGTGAACATGCCTCGTGCAGTCCCGGAAGTTGTGCCCGACGGGTTTCTCAACACTGTCATCTCCTGTGAAGGCCTGCCCGATTCCTGGTACCCACACAGATGCTCTCTGTGGAGTGGAGAGCTCCCTTATTTTAAAAGGGGAGGTTGATCAGCCGTAGAAAACCGGCAGCAAGCCACAGCCGGCCATTTAAGGATCAACTCTGGGTAAACGTGAGTAAGGAAGGGGAGCCTGCAGCTTCAGGTGTGTGTCTATGCACTTATTCGGCAATAAGGCCTGCTGTCAGTGGAGAGGAGGAGAGGAAGATTCAAACACAGAACCCCGAATTAGACCAAGACAGGACTACTGGTTATCCCTGCTTGAAGACAGAGGGGGTCATCTCTATCTCAGCCCTCTGCTCCTAATTCTGTCCAGTCCTCATCATGCCCCACTGAGATCAGTGCTCTCCTCCTCTCTCCAGACAGGAGCAAACAGAAACGAGTACACCAGTACTGACTTCGCTGGGACTTACGCCCAGGCCATCTGGTCCCACAGCTTAAAGGTTTAACTACCTGACAGGTAGTACTCCTACCTGTGACCATGTGCATAGGAATCAGTCACCTAGCAGACTGACTTCCTAAAATACAGATGGCAGGGCCCCTATGCACCCCAGGGATTTTAACGCAACAGACCCAGCCAGAGAGGGTCTCTAAGCATTTACGTGTCTCACAATTAGCAGGTAATGTCCATGCCACCAGCTCAAGAACTGGAGAATCACTGCTTGTAGAACACCAGGCCCCGAGTGTTACTGACTAATCACCAGAGAAGGAAGAATACAGGTGGGGTCCCATTGTCATGCAGGAGCTGGTCTGTCCAGCCATGCAGAGATAATTGTATGGCTTGTCAGTCACTCAGGGACTGCAGAACGTTTCTGCAAATGCACATCTCATTTTCTTAGAGAAGTCATAGCAGGAGTTAACTATTTGGATGAATATGAGCAAATTAGTTTACTTAAAAAAAAAGCATGGAGAGAGAGAGGATGCCCCAAACTCTGTTATCCGTTTGTGTCACATAATCTGTACTAAACACACACACACACACACACACACACACAGAGGAAAGACTATTTAATACTTTTCTACTCCGCATGTTCCTTCCAGCTGGAAGATAAAGGTTTGAATGTGTTCAAATATAGCTGGAATGGCTATCAGGCGACTGTGCTCACTGCGATGTGTATGGAATTGTTTATATGTATGTGTATGTTGAAGCATTTTCCTGGGGTGGGGTGGGGAATATATATATTTTTAGCTAGGTTATCAGAGGTATCTGAGGAAGTCCCATTTTTTTCCCATCCCGTAAGGCTCTGCAGATGCCTGATATATGGTATTTATCTAGAAAGGCACCCAATCAAGAGGATTTGGGAGCTGTGTTTTATGACTGAAGTAAGAAATCAAGTTCTAGAAATGATGTCTCCTCTGAATAACTAGACAATTTGGGGAAGTATTCTGATAATGGATCATTATGTCTTGAGCATTAGGCAACACACGTCTAGGATATAAATTCAAGAAATAATATTCAGAAAGTATGATTTACATGCAGGAAGTGTTGTTTACCACCAGCCCACAGGCTTGAGTCAGGGGTTCTTTGGTGGCTAATCTGAAAACTTGCTTGGAGGGGTGGGGTTTCATTCATGCACTGCCCAGGTTTAAGAAGTTTTCTCAAACTGAGTGCTGGTGGCTTAGGCCTGTCATCCTAGCTACTCAGGAAGCTGAGATCTGAGGATTGCAGTTCAAAGCCAGCCTGGGCAGACAAATCTCCATCTAACCAGCAAAAGGATTGAAGTGAAGCTGTGGCTCATCAACTGGAGCACTGGCCTTGAGTGAAAAAGCCAAGGGAGAGCTCAGAGACCTGAGTTCAAGCCCCAGTATTGTGTGTGTGTGCCTGTGTGTGTGTGTGTACGTGCACACACAAACACACGTTTTCTCCTGGGATACTATCTTAGGTTTGTTATACTCAAAGAGACACAGTATCTCCTCCAACTATTCCTCCAGGTAATGCTGGGATGTTATATACATAAGCATTATAATAATTACCTGCGAAAGCTCAGAACGCCTTCCTCAAAGATACCCAGAGAATAAAGGCCATGACCTTAGAGCTAAGGCTAGATGCATAGGCTTAGAGTAAAAGAAATCTCTTTTCTAGGTTGCACCAATTGGAACACCCTATGTGTGTGTCTATGTAATATGTGTGGTACCCAGGAGGTTTAAGAGTCATGTGAGTAAGAGCGGGAGCTTTGTCAGACCAGCCCAGCGGAGTTCCCTGGGACAGCTGTGGGCTGCTGCCCTCATTCCATGACGGCATGCCGAGTCCCGGCTGTGCCCCCCATGCAGGATGCACGCACCACCACCCAGGCGAAGTGCGATGACCTGATGGGTGGCTTTACCCAAATAAGAGGTATGAGAATGTAAGACTGGTCATGGTGGCTCCTCTATCAGAATCCAGTGGCCAAGACCAACCCAGAAAGCCTCTTCCTTGTGTCTCATCCATGGAGATCTCCTGACCAGTGATGTAATCCATCAACAGTGGAACCGCTTGCTGTGTACAAAGCAGCCCTCTGAATGGGAGGCTAGCATGTGATCGTGTGCGTGGGGCGGGAGTGGGGGTGGGGTGGGAGGAAGGACGTCTGGGAACTTCAGGTGTCCCTCAGTACTGAGGCAAACGATTCGTAAAGGAAGAGAACCAGATCTGCCCATATGCTCAGCCTGGCCCCAAGAGGGTACTGAGAGAGGAAAGAGCATGCGCTGCTTATGAAAAGTCAATCAGCAGCAGCAGCCTCCTCAAGAGTAGCCACAGTCCACTAAACTAAACGCACTGTGTGATGGACCTCATTAAAGTGGAGCCTCACATGGTTCTTCCTCCTCCTCCTCCATCAGCCAGGTGGAGGTGGGTTCATTCTGCACTTTCCTCTTGAGGACAGTATGGCATTATCCATCTAAAATATCTGTCTATCCATCTATCCATCCATCCATTCAATCATCTATCTACATCCATCCATCCACCCATCCATCCACCCATCCATCCAATCATCTATCTATATCCACCCACCCACCCATCCATCCAATCATCTATCTATATCCACCCATCCATCCATCCACCCATCCATCCACCCATCCATCCACCCATCCATCCACCCATCCATCCATCCAATCATCTATCTATATCCACCCATCCATCCATTCAATCAGCTATATCTATCCATCCATCCCATCCATGCATCCATCCAATCATCTATCTACACCCACCCACCCACCCACCCACCCACCCACCCATCCATCCATCCATCCATCCACCCATCCACCCATCCACCCATCCATCCATCCATCCATCCATTCAATCACCTATCTATATCCATCCACCCGTCCACCCGTCCATCCGTCCACCCATCCACCCATCCATCCATCCATCCATCCATCCATCCATCCATCCACCCATCCAATCATCTATCTATATCCACCCATCCATCTATTCAATCACCTATCTATGTCCATCCACCCGTCCACCCGTCCATCCGTCCATCCATCCATCCACCCACCCACCCACCCATCCACCCATCCACCCATCCATGTATCTATGTATCTGCAGGCAAACTAACCAGGCTTTTCCTTTGTGTTTTTCTAAGTCTACAAAATGCCCACAGATACCACTTTCTGGCTCGTTCCCAAGTCTCTGTCATTCACAATGGCAGTCTTTCTGGAGTCCTCAGTTGGGATTTCTATGCCATGTCAGCGCATCGGGCAGTCAGCGGTTTGGTGCAATGCTTAGGAAAGTGGCTTCCTTTTAACCAGAACTTGGCTCTTATAGTCTTACAGCAGTCATAGAAATGTCTTTCTGCTCCTCTACTAGCTTCCTGCTGAGAATTCTACTGTGGTTTTAGGATTCCAGCCATACATGATACTAACCAGCAAAGAGGCCTGATTATAATAGTCTAACAGAATGCTTGTGAAGATCAGTGGAATGTGACATTTGCAAACAACCCCAAGTAGAGTCAGTCTCTCTCTCTCCCTCTCCCTCTCCCTCCAACACCATTTGGAAATGTCTGTGTCTCTCCAGGCAAACATGGCATTAATTAGTTATGCATGGTTATTCCCAGTAAAGAGCGCATTCATTATAAGTTAGTAAATTTCAATTTTATAGCAGGTGTGTTAGGGTGAGAGAGATTTTTATACATTGTTCATGTGAGGATAAGTCGTATAATTTTATGTTATTATTTTCTTTTCTGTTCCATACAGTAGTAAGTACTGACGGGGGCTGTACATATACCAAAAAGCTACAATTATCCTGTTCTGAGATAAGATAACGATTTTCAGACAACATAATGTAGTATAAAAATGTGCAATTTTGCATTTATGGTTGTATGATTCTTGCTTTAGCAATTACATGAGCCTAGAAGGCAATGTAGTTTTTGTTTTTAAGAAACATCCTGGACTTCTAAAAACAGGCTTGATATTGAGAAGATAAGATAAAGACCATACAATCAAGGGTTTCTTTTGTAACCTCACCAGCTATATAAGGCTAAGAGTATGCAAGTGTATTGGAGAATGTCGCACCAATCCATTTTTTTTCCTACTCTCTGTTACTTTCTCTACTATGAGCTTCTTGAGCTGAACCAACTCTAGTGATTTACCCCAAACTCTTGATGGACACTGTCTTATTCCATTGCCTCTATTTTCCTTCCACGATGCTCTAACTTCATTTCTTGCTACGCTCCATCTGGATTGGCATATCTTTATTTTTTCCAGGCACTTCAGTTGTTTTATTTTGGAAGAGGTGAGATTATACATGAATAATGGAAACAGAAGTATTTCCCTCCATCGTCTGTATAATAGAGGGTGTAGGCCAAGTCAGCTTTGTTTTCTAAAAGATTTATAAGCAGCACAAAAAAGCTTTTAAGAAAGTGCATCTACCCCTCTCCACACAGCTCTGAGCACAGCCACGTTCTGGCTACAGAGCAGAAGGGCATGCGAAAGCGCCCGCTAGAATGGCCTGGGTCTGGCTGGATTTACCCAGACACCAGAATTTTCCACACAACTGGGGGGGGGGGGGGAGGGACTGCAGGGTGCTCCGCAGCTTCCCGGGCCCACCCCACTGAGGCCACCGATAATTCCTGTGGACATCGCAACTCTCCCCATATCATCAACTGCCCTCATGTCATCCTCCACTGCCTCCCCGACCCCAGAAGACCCCAAACGAAGGGGGAAGACAGAGCGTGCTATTTCAGGATTTCCCTCCACCATCTGTCTCTCCCGTTCTCTGACATTCACTGCTCTCTCCACGCGCCAGTATCAAGGCCCATGCAGAAGACCCCACAGGCAGCAAGGAGCACGGTGACGTGCATTTCCTCCCTAGGCAAAGAAGGGAGACACCCACGTGCCATTTTGGTTTTGTTTTTTGGAAAATGCAACCAAAGAGCCAATTCATTCCCATGTCACCGATCTCTTGATTGGTTTGCCTTTGACACCACCGCTTGAACTCTCTCGGGCAGAGGTTTTAGAAGCTTGGCAGTACACGATGTCTTTGGGGGAAGGGAGAAAGCCCACCTCGTGATTTTCACCTACGGGAAACCTGACACACCTCTAAATTCAAGGTGCCCACACATGTACACACACACGTGTGTGTGTGTGTGTGTGGTGTGTGTGTGTGTGTGAATGCGGTCCAACCTCCTTAATAACCAGATGTTTGCGATCACCAGGAACACAGCTCTGGCTGTAACCATTCCTCTTGTTCTCCGGCATTCAGTCTCAAAGAGAATTTACATAACCACATGTGACACGCCAGAACGCTTAAAGGCACCAACCATGGCAGGACAAATTACATTCATTTTTCAATCCTCCGCAAGGTGCTTAAACCGCTGCAGGCGCAACACGGGAAGGAAGGGGGCGGCATGCTGGGGCGGGGTGGGCCTGGGGAGGGCCGTCCACAAGAAGGGGAAAAAGAAAAACCATCTAAACAAAACCCCAAACCCAAAACCACCATGCGCTTCCACTAAGCAAACACTGCGTGCTTCCCGGGGGGAAGGGGGCGGGCAGGTGCAAGGGGAGAGGGCACCCGTCCCCACTGTGTGTGGGGTGGGGTGGGGGCGACTTACCCGCCGTAGGCTGGGATCGGGGGTGGGGGCGCCGCGGCCCGGAAGGTGTTGTACACGGCACGGCCGCGGCCTCGCAGGTGCGCCCCGCGGTAGGCTGCAGCAGCGGTGGCAGCCGGGTACGGGAAGCCGGGCACTGCGGAGCAAGAAGAGGAGAGAACAACAGCGAAGGACCATGAGACCCCCACAGGCTGCCCGTGCGTGCGCGTGCGCGTGGCCCAGCGCCTAAGCCACCCTCACCCTCTTCCGAGGGGCGTCAGGACACACACACACACACATCCCAGGCCTGGGCCCCCACCCCATCCCCAATGGGTTCTGATGAAGATGAGTAAGAAGGTGACCCCTCCGCCTTGGAGGTGATGGGGGAAGATGGCAGACATCCACCGAGTCCTCCTCAGAGGAGGAGAAAGCAAAATCACTGCACCACCTTCATGTCGTCGTCATCGGTCATCGTGGTTTTTAAAATACAAGGTAGGTCGGACGATCCACCCCCGGCGCGTCTCGGCGCTCTAGGAGCAAAGACGCTTCCTGTACCTTCGCACAGACGCGTGTTTCTGTGTATGCGCCTGAACACACACTCCACAGGTGTCACGTGTCCATAGCACACCCGTGAACGCATGCCCGTGACCCCCGCCGTGCGCACGCTCACACAGCTACCTACTGGTCCGTTGGCACGTATACACATTTAGTAGAGGCATGTCCATACAACTATTCCCTCATGCTAGCAGTTGCCTGAGAAAAGGCTCAGAAAGACCATCGGGGAGGAAAGGAATCTTTTAACGTGGGTACCCCAAGTCACCAACCCACCCTCTACTCCCTCTTCCAGCCTCCCGCGGAGTACCTAGCCTCCCATAGGGTGGTCGGGGTCCAGGCTGTGCTACAGTGGCCTCCATCCCGCATCTGGAGTGTCAAGAGAGGTCTTGACCCCCTTCCTACTACACCTTCAGAAGCAAGATGGCATCCCAAGGTCATGACCTGGAACCCCGGGGATGCTGTCTTAGGATGAGGCGGCCGAGGATGGAGAGCATGCCCACAGCTCACGGTGTGTGATCTGATGGGGAAGAGACAGAAGGGCGTGCTCCTGCAGCGTCTGCTCCCCCTCCACACCGCGAGATGTGCTGGAATGGGGCCTTTGACCTTGAAGACCAGTGGCCTGTGATCCTAGGGACGTAACACGTATGCTCTACGGTTGTCATAGCGTCTACCCCTCCCACAATTGTGCTCAAATGCTATTGGATCTCAGACGCAAGCCTGACCCCTTCCATCCCTCTGCCTGTAACTCAGCAGTCCACGCAGGTTATTTTGAACTAAAAAACAAAAACAACTATTGTCGCTGTTAATGACAAACCAGGCCAGTTCTGTTTAACTTACCAGCTCTGGCACCTGAGTTATCTAGATGGCTTTTCAGCTCTGTTTGAAATTGTAGCGAGGTGGTTTGCCTCCGTGGAGGAAAACAGCAACTCCCTGACAACGACCAAAGCCCAGGGGCGCTGGGATTACAGGCACTTGCTTCAGCACAGGGACGCAAAGAGCTGGGAATGGCCTTAACACCGGGCCTACCTTGCCACAGCTCAAACATTAAGTTTGCCTAAGAACTCCCCGGATTTTGGAAGACAGAGCATGAGAAACGCGCAATCTGGCCGAGCAGCTGGCTGCCTGCGTGAAGGAGCCCGGTAATTATGCTGACCCATTCATTATCGCCGGCTCCGGTGCCATGGGGGCGAGACAAGATCCCTCTCAGCGACAAGCAGCTTTTACAATCCATCTTGGAGGATTTAGACATTGAGATGGAGCAGGAAACAGCAGCTCCGTGACAGAGTACAGGAGCAGGGGGCGGGCGGGGGGGGGGGGCAGGGGCGGGGTCAGCCTGGAGAGCCTAGCGTCCATTTTGTGCCCTCCTGGCTGCGGGTCCACGCCCAGCAGTAGGGTATTATTTAGAGGTGCTAAGACAAGCCTTTGGAGGGGCCCCATCCAAGCAGGGTGCATGAAAGGAATTCGTATTCCATTGAGGGAATACAACTTGACAGAGAAACTCCTGGCGCTAAAGTGGCCCTGGGGGAGGCCAAATACCCTTGAGCAAGACAGAGCTTCTGCAGATCCTGCCTTAGGCCGGAGGTTCCTGGGCACAGCGGGGCGGGGGCACAGTAGTCTAGATGGAGACTCTGGAGAGTTTTGTTCTGTAGTTATTGTAGAACTGGCCCAGGGGTCAGCTTTGTGAAGTCTCGTTACTCACCACAACCAGTGAGTATTCTTTCCCTCCCTCCCTCCCTCCCTCCTTCCCTCCCTCCCTCCTTCCCTCCCTCCCTCCCTCCCTCCCTCCCTCCCTCCCTCCCTCCTTCCTTCTCTCCCTCCTTCCCTCCCTCCCCCTTCTTCTGTTCTCGCTTCTCTCCTTTCCTCCTCTGTCCTCTCCCTCCCTCCCTCCCTCCTTCTTTCTCCCCTGCCCTCCTCCTCTTCCCCTCCCTTCTTCCTTCTTTCCTCCCTCTCTCCCTTCTTCCTTTTCGATTCCTCCCTTGTTCCCTTCCTTCCTCCCTTTCTTCGTTTTCATCCTTTTTTTTTTCAAAAACAAAAACAAGGTTTCTCTGCAGAAGGCTTTCCTGGGATGGCAGGCATGACAGGGAAGGGCTCTTCCCTGGTCCGAATGGAAGGCCATGCAGGCGGGGTTCTCTATCTGCAATGCAATTCGATTCAGAGATGTGCCTGGCCCCGACCTTGTGTCACATACCGGACCCCTGCCCCTGCTCACCGCATCGCTGCTAACCAGCGCCCGTCTCCTTCCTGCGGGGGGGGGGGGTGGCGCGGGGTGGGGAGGGCAGCCCCACCCTCCCTAACTCCAGCGGTGGGTACAGAGCAGCTGATGCGGCTGTGCCCACGAGAGGCGCGGCTGATCTGTCAGGATGGCTGGACAGACCAGTTCTGCCTCCATCCTCGGAGGTGCTAGAGCGGCCCAGAAAAACACCACGAGGCACAGACTCCATGCCAGGCCAACGGAAGGCAGGCCAGCACGGACACAACGAGACTGGGCCCGCCAACGGTCAGCGCCCTGGACTCCTGTAATTCACGCTCACTGCCAGGGCTCGGAGGAGCTTCCTGACAGTTCCGGAGGAAAGCTGTTCAGTGACACCGTTCCCTGCACACAGCCACAGACAGGGTCCGCCCCTGCTCAGCACTCCCGTCACGTGCCACAAGAAGCACGCAAGCAGCCGTTTACGACCCCCATCTCATCCATGCTTGCCTCCTTCTGCGTTAGAGGAATTTCTCCCCGATGGCTGGTTTAAGGATGGCGCGCTACCAAGACAAATGGTCACTTTCAAGGGCGGAAAAAGCACCACAGCTGTGTGACAAACCCCCGTTAGACTCCACAGGGCAGGGCAGGAGGGCCGTCTTTCTTCCTGACTCTCTGCAGAGGCTGGACCGTGATGAAATGTCCATTTGAAGCAATTTCACCTGCGCAGATGATGATGATGATGATGCAGATACAGATCAAACGAGGCCCCAAATCAATGGTTCTATCCTTCAACCACATAGAAAACATCTTTCTTTGGTCAGATTTTTATTAGTGCAGATAAATTATGGAAAGTAATGGGATTCCAGCCAGACACTGGTAGCTCACGCCTGGAATCCTAGCTACTCAGGAGGCTAAGATCTGAAGACTGGTTCAAAGCCAGCCCAGGAAGACAAATCTGAGAGACTCTTATCTCCAATTAACCACTAAAAAGCCAGAAGTGGAGGTGTGGCTCAAGTGGTAGAATTGCTAGCCTTGAGGGACAAAAAGCTCAGGGACAGCACCCAGGCCCTTAGTACAGATGCCAGGATTGGTACAAAAATAAAAAGCAATCCACAACCAACAAAAATGAGTGGAGATTGTCAGGACACTTTCATACATGTATGTGTGGTCAGACGTGGGTGACCCTCACACCCCAGGACCTGTGTTACCGGCCCCCCCCTTCCTCTTTCCAAATAGTTGCCCTGAAAGAAAACATCTTAATAACCTGCCACTCGGTGGCATGCTAGATGTCATGGATGCCATATAAATCCTTCGCTTCTGGGTGAAGGAGACGAGGGAAAACCTACAGTAGGTTCTTTCTTAACCTCGATCCAGCATGAATCAGAGTGAGAAATCAGATATCATTGCGACGGAAATTGGACTTGGCTCCTAAGCTACAATTGAATTCCTCTCAAAGAAAATGGGGTAGGAGCTTCCAAAGGGGAAGAAAAAAATAAAAACAAAACAAAAAAACACCACGTAGGATTCTTGTGATCTTGTTAAACTTATCACTTCGCAGCCCACTGGCTCCTACCTATCAACTAGATTAGACCAGAGCACAATTTCCATCCTTGGAAAGAGGGGAGTTCTCTGCTCTGGAAATCCAGTGAAATAGAGAGCTCAGGCAGGTCGCAAGAGGTATGTCGTGTAGCTCAAGCAGCCACGCAAATCACCATTGTGAAATAGACTTGTGGGTGGATCAACCAGCCAAATGGGCCATTCACCCAAGTGTCAACCGCTTCCTGCCTGTCTCCCCTTCCTGACAATCCCTCCCCCCCCCCAGCTCCAGTGCAGGGGGAGGGGGCTCCACGCTCAGTGTATTTACAGTGTCTCCTGCCTCGTCTCCCCCTCCGTGTCTTTTATGAACATGGTGCTTACCTTCGAAAATAAACACAAATGAGATCATTTCGCCAGTCCGGAAATCCCAAGAGAAGGCACCACAGCACCAGCAGAAAAGAGACTCGAGGGTTATAAACTGCATATTAAAGTTTTAGAGCTCCAGGAGAGACACAGGAAATGGCAGATGCCATCCCCCACAGGGGAGGGGGAGGGGAGGGGGAGCCGGTCCTGCATCAAAGCCATAAAAATATACAAGCGATTTAATGGGCAATTATTCTTTGCATTTGCGTGCGGGCTGGAATTCGCCGGCAACTGCCAGATGCCCCGGTAAAGGTGTGCCATCCGAAGAGATGGCAGGGCTCTGCCTTTGTTCCCCCTCTCCTGCCTTCCACCCCACAGGACACCGTGTCTTTTGTCTTCAGAGTTATCTATGCTCATTTGGGGGAGTGGGGGTGTTCTGTGGGTAATTTATAGGAGGTTACGTTGCATAGTTTGGGGGGTATATTTTATATTTGTGTTTCAGTAGCAGGGTT